AAGGCGTGCCAGAGAAAAGCTGGCATCGGATGGCCCGAGCTTCACGCGTTCACGCGGCGCCGGCAGTTCCCGAGGTCGCACGGCAGAACGGCAAAATATATGTTCACGCCTGGGCACGAGACCGCGTGCAAGAAATCATTCAAAGCAGGCGCCAGCGAGCTGATCTCGACCTTCTTCGTCCTTTTGGCGTTCGCCGAGGAGCGCGCCGTCCGCATCGGGTCGCTCGAGCGCGAAATAGCGCCCCTTCGGGCGTGCGGCCTGCTGGCGGACGCGTTCCTGAAGGTCAAGCGCGGGCGCGCCCCCCCTCGCAGTGACTTCATTGCAGCGGCTGAAGTCCATCTCAACTTGCACAAGCAGGCGTACGGCACCAAATGCGTGAAGCCCAAACACCACTACGTGTTTCACAACGCGGAGCAGGAGCCGAAAGAGCTCGACTGCTTCGTGACGGAGCGCCACAATAAAGTGGCAAAGGCGGTGGCCGAACCAGTGGAGAACACCGCGCGCATGGAGGCCACGACGCTCGCGGGCTGCGTATTGCAGCAAGTGCGGCAACTCGAGGAGATGGGGCCGACGGGCAACTCGCTGGTGGGAGCGCGTGCCGAATCTGACGGGTTGCGCTCCGTAGTCGGGGCCGCCGACGTCTCCGTGGCCAGGGGGCTGCGCTGGGAAGGGAACGCCTACAACGTGGGCCAGGTGGTTCGCTCGCGCGGCGGCGAGGTGTTTATCGTCGACGCGTGCGCGGAGATTTCTGGCGAACTGCACATCGTCGCCCGCGGGATCGAGATCTCAACGGGCGCGCGCGGCCTCAGCACTGGCAGCGTGGTGAACGAGCTCCTCGTCATCAAGATGTCCGACGCTGACCTGGATGGCGCTGTCTGGGCGTGGCGCGTGAAGAGCAACGGCGACTATGTCATCGCGCACGCGCGCTGAGAAACAGATGGAAACATGCGCCGCGCCGCGGTGTGTGTGCGCGGGGAGCGATGTCGATCGCTGGGTGAGGTGAAGCGATGCCGATCGCTTGGGTGAGGAGATGAGAGGAGGAGGATGATGATGAGGAGGAGGAGGAGGGGGAGGGAGAAAGCGATGCCGATCGCTGGAAGGAGGGGGGGACGGAAAAGAAAATCGAGCGATGCCGATCGCTGGGTGAGGTGAAGCGACGTCGATCGCTTGAAGGAGGAAGAGGAGGAGGAGGAGGTGGCGGAGGAGGGAGGATAGCGATATCGGTCGCTGGAAGATGGGCGGGGGGTGGGAGGAGGAAAATAAGATCACCGCGCGCAACCGTTCAGCTTTGGCGCGCTGCTGCCCCTTGGGCTCGCGCGGGGCATGCGCGATGCTGCCCCTGGCGGCCGCGCGCAAGCGCGCCTCGAGCTGGCCAAAGGCGGCCGCGCACGACGACGAGACGACGACGACGATGCGACGACGGCGACGAAGACGGCGACGAATGAGGCGAGCTTGCCCGAGCGGCTGCTCGGGGAGGTGGAGCAGCTGCGCGGGGAGGTCGAGCAGCTGCGCGCGGCGAACGCCCAGCTGCGGGCGGAGAAGGAGGAGGCGGATAAGACGACGACGACGACGACGAGACGACGACGAGACGACGACGACGACGACGACGACGACGACGACGACGACGACGACGACGACGGTGGCGGCGACGACGACGGCGGCGGCGGCGGCGACGACGACGACGACGACCCCCCCAGGTGGCGCGGCACTTGGCCCTCCAGATCGACATGCGCGACGTCGAGCTGGATCGGGCCGCCGAGCTGCTGGGCGTCGCGCGCCGCCGCGCCGCGGTGCATGCGGCGGCGCTGGCGCAGCTCAAGCAGGACGCGATGACGATCATCCGCCTGCAGAGGCTGTACGACGCCCCCGAGGCGGAGGCGGCCATGGCGTCGGCGGTGGCATGGCCGACGCCCTGACGACGCCGCCTCCGCCGCCGTGGTCCCCCCCGTGAGGAGGGGCTCACGGGCGGCGACGGGCGCCCAGGGTCGTCCACGGACGCCCTGACTGAGCCGCCCCCGCCGCCGCGGCCTGCGCCCCCGCAGTGAGGCGGCGCGAGGCTGCGCGCGCCAACAAGAAGCTTGGGGGGGGATATCGATGTCGATCGCTTGGGAGAGGTAGCGATGGCGATCGCGAGGAGGAGGAGGAGGAGGAGGAGGAGGAGGAGGAGGAGGAGCAGGAGGAGCAGGAGGAGCAGGAGGAGCAGGAGCAGGAGGATGAGGAGGAGCAGGATCTGCATGGGCAGCCAGGGGGCTGCGGAGGGAGGAGGAGGAGTAGCGATGCCGATCGCGATGTGCATGGGCAGCCAGTGGGGCCGCGGGATTTGCATAGGCAGCCAGGGGGGCTCGCGATCTCGATCGCCGCGAGGAGGAGGGGAGGAGGAGGATGAGGAGCAAGAGAGCGATGCCGATCGCTGGGGGAGGCGAAGCGATGTCGATCGCTTGGAAGGGGGAGGAGGCAGGAGAAGGAGGAAGAGGAGGATGACGATGATGAGGAGGAGGAGAGCGATGTCGATCGCTCGGGCGCGGGTGGGAATATGGGTGGAGCGATGGCGATCGCTCGGGCGGGCGTTGGCGACGATGGGCTCGCGATGACGGCGATTGCTCAGCCGTTTCGGCTCGCCTCGCGAGTGACGCACGGGGCGCTCGCGGCCAAGCGACGGCGCGCGCGCGCGCAGGAGGGGGCGCGTCATGGACGATCTCCCCTCGGAACCGCTGCCACCTGGGCTGGTCGGCGCGAAGCCGTCCAGTGTCCCGCTGCCGCGAGGCGGCCCGTGGCCGAATATGGCCAACGCGAAGTTCTTCAAGATGCCGTCGCCCGCCGCTTTCGTTGCGGCCACCTCCAAGGACGCGGCGCCGCCGCCGCCACCCAAGCGGCCGCGCCTCGAGGTTGCAGCCGTCGGCCGAGAGGGAGCCTCAGGCGGCTCCAACAGCAGGCCGAGCTGCAGGCGTTGAGCGAGGCGGAGGCGATCTGCTTGGCCGCCTTCCGCGACGGGCAGGGCGGCGAGGCGGCCCCTGAGGGTGAGCCCCCTGCGCGGTGAGGAGGCCGCGCGTACACTGAGGACGCGGCCGCGCGCGGTGAGGAGGCCGCGCGCCCCGCCGCGCTCATCACTCTCCTCCCCCCCTCCCCCCCCTCACAGCGATCGACATCGCTCTCCTCCTCCTCCTCCTCCTCCCAAGCGATCGCGATCGCTTCATTTCCCTAAGTAACTTATAAGTATCTTATAGTGTTAGCTTAAGTAACTTAAGAACATCAACTTAAGTTACTTATAAGTATCTTAGTAAGTACCCATAAGTAGCTCATGTAAGTAGCTATGTTACTTGCGATACTTATACATAGGGTGCAACTAGCATAAGAACCACCATTCTCGAAGCAGAAGCCGGAAGCCGGAAGCCGGAAGCCGGAAGCCGGAAGACGGCAGCTGGATGCCAGAAACCGCAAGCCGGAAACCGCAAGCCGGAAGCCGGAAGCCGGAAGCCGGATTAAGCCAGAAGCCAGAAGCCAGAAGCCCGAAGCCGAAAGCCGGAAGCCCGAAGCCGGAAGCCGGAAGCCGGCCGGACGCTGGAAGCCGGAAGCCGGCCGGAAACAGGAAACCAGAAGCCGGACACCGGAAGCCGGGAGCCCGAAGCCGGAAACCGGAAGCCGGAAGCCGGAAGCCGGAAGCCGGAAACTGAAACTGGAAGCCGGAAGCCGGGGCCTGGAACCTGGAAGCCGGAAGCCGGAAGCCGGGCCCTTACTCCAAATCCGCCCTACTTTGGCTTTTCCCCTATTGAAAAAATGCGTCGGAAATCCACCTATGAGAAGCCGAACATGATGGACCCACGAACCCGGAAAGGGATACAGACATGTGCAGAATGGTCACATTTTCACGATTCACGAAACATCCCACGAGACACCCCGCGAAACATCCCACGAGACACCTCACGAAACATTCCACGAGACACCTCACGAAACATTCCACGAGACACCCCGTGAAACATTCCACGAGACACCCCACGAACAGGCAACCACTCAACCAGACACCCACGAAACATTCCACGGGGGTGCGACTGGGTGTGGTCGTGCTGGGGTGTGGTCGTGCTGGGGTGTGGTCGTGCTGGGGAGTGGTCGTGCTGGGGTGTGGTCGTACTGGGACGAAAAATTCCACGACACACCTCACGAAACATTCCACGAGACACCCCGCGAAACATTCCACGAGACACCCCACGAACAGGCAACCACTCAACCAGACACCCCACGAAACATTCCACGGGGGTGCGACTGGGTGTGGTCGTGCTGGGGTGTGGTCGTGCTGGGGGTGGTGGTCGTGCTGGGGAGTGGTCGTGCTGGGGTGGTCGTGCTGGGTGCTGTGGTCGTGCTGGAGGGTGGTCGTGCTAGGGGGTGGTCGTGCTGGGGGGGTGGTCGTGCTGGGGGGTGGTCGTGCTGGGGCATGGTCGCGCTGGGGCGTGGTCGTGCTGGGGCGTGGTCGTGCTGGGGTGTGGTCGTGCTGTGCTGAGGCCGTGCTGGGGTGTGGTCGTGCTGGGGTGTGGTCTTGCTGGGTGGGGTCGTGCTGGGATGGGGTCGTGCTGGGGTGTGGTCGTGCTGGGGTGTGGTCGTGCTGGGGTGGGGTCGTGCTGGGGTGGGGTCGTGCTGGGGTGTGGTCGTGCTGGGGTGTGGTCGTGCCGGGGTGTGGTCGTGCTGGGGTGGGGTCGTGCATTTCGCTCGAGACATCCTGAAAAAATCCTGAGAAATCCTGGAAAAACAAGCGAACTAGTCGAGACATCCTCGAAATTCCTGCGCGCGGGACGCGGCACGCGCGAGACATCCTCCGAATTTCTGCGCGCAGGGCTCTTTTCCCCGTCGCGGTCGGCTCAGCGAAACCAGCGTTTCGCTCGAGACATCCTCAACAAATTCTGAAAACAAGCGTTTCGCTCGAGACATCCCCAACACACGAAAGAGCGGCCCACACCCTGTGATTTATCGATCGGGATTTCAAAAACAAGCGCTTCGCCTGAGACATCCTCAAATTTTAATCCGTCGGCCCACCTCGACCTCGATATTTATCAAGGAAAGAATCCGCCGGCGCCCCTCAGATGAGGCACCGGGGACAGGTTTACCAACTAAAATAAAACCCTGGGCTGGCGCCCTTTCCGGGAAAAATGATGGACCCACGAACCCGGAAAGGGATATAGACATGTGGAGCATGGACACGTTTTCACGATACCCAACTGGGCAACACCTCACGAAACATCCCACGAGACACTTCACGAAACATCCCACGAGACACCTCACGAAACATTCCACGAGACACCTCACGAAACATTCCACGAGACACCCCGCGAAACATTCCACGAGACACCCCACGAAACATTCCACGACGACAGGCAACCACTCAACCAAGGCGGTGTGGTCGTGCTGGGGAGTGGTCGTGCTGGGGTGTGGTCGTGCTGGGGGGTGGTCGTGCTGGGGGGTGGTCGTGCTGGGGGGGTGGTCGTGCTGGGGGGTGGTCGTGCTGGGGCGTGGTCGTGCTGGGGCGTGGTCGTGCTGGGGCGTGGTCGTGCTGGGGCGTGGTCGTGCTGGGGCGTGGTCGTGCTGGGGTGTGGTCGTGCTGTGGTAAGGTCGTGCTGGGGTGCGGTCGTGCTGGGGTGTGGTCTTGCTGGGGTGGGGTCGTGCTGGGGTGTGGTCGTGCTGGGTATGGTCGTGTTGGGGTGTGGTCGTGCTGGGGTGTGGTCGTGCTGGGGTGTGGTCGTGCTGGGGGGGTGTGGTCGTGCTAGGGGTGTGGTCGTGCTGGGGTGTGGTCGTGCTGGGGCGTGGTCGTGCTGGGGCGTGGTCGTGCTGGGGCGTGGTCGTGCTGGGGTGGTCCGGTGATCGTGGGTTGTGCTGGGGTGTGTGTGCTGGTCGTGCTGGGGTGTGGTCGTGCTGGGGTGTGGTCGTGCTGGGGTCGGGTCGTGCTGGGGTGTGGTCGTGCTGGGGTGTGGTCGTGCTGGGGTGTGGTCGTGCTGGGGTGTCGTGGGGGTGTGGTGCGGGGTGTGGTCTGGGGTGTGGTCGTGCTGGGGGTGGTGGCTCGTGCTGGGGGGTGGTCGTGCTGGGGCGTGTGCTCGTGCTGGGGCGTGGTCGTGCTGGGGCGTGGTCGTGCTGGGGCGTGGTCGTGCTGGGGCGTGGTCGTGCTGGGGTGTGGTCGTGCTGTGGTGAGGTCGTGCTGGGGTGTGGTCGTGCTGGGGTGTGGTCTTGCTGGGGTAGGGTCGTGCTGGGGTCGGGTCGTGCTGGGGTGTGGTCGTGCTGGGGTATGGTCGTGCTGGGGTGGGGTCGTGCTGGGGTGGGGTCGTGCTGGGGTCTGGTCGTGCTGGGGTGTGGTCGTGCTGGGGTATGGTCGTGCTAGGGTGGGGTCGTGCATTTCGCTCGAGACATCCTGCCAAAATTCCAGGAAATCGTACAAAAACAAACGAATTAGTCGAGACATCATCGAAATTCCTTCGCGCGGGGCGCTTTTCCGCGTCGCGGTCGGCTCTGCAAAACCAGCGTTTCGCTTGAGACATCCTCAGCAAATTTCGCTCGAGACATCCTCAACTCTGCAAAACCAGCGTTTCGCTCGAGACATCCTCAAGAAATTCTGAAAAACAAGCGTTTCGCTCGAGACATCCTCAAATTTTAATTCGCCGGCCTCCTTCGACCTCGTTATTTATCAGGGAAAAAATTCGCCGGCCTCCCTCAAGCAGGCACCGGGGGACAGGTTTACCAACTAAAAGAGAACCCTGGGCCCCAGCCCTTTCCGGGAAAAATGTGTTTCCTGGTGGGAGGGCTCGGACAAACCACCCTGTACAGGATGCAACTGACTGCAAGGTGGGACGACGCGGCATGCGCGTTTGCTCTATCGGAGCCCGTACACTATACAAGCGCGAAAATCTACGCAAGCCAGGAGTGCACGCAAAGGCTGAAAGGGGTGAAAAGAACCGCCAAAAACGACAAACAGAATTTAGTGGCAGTGTTGGCTTCTTGTGAATCATCAGTGGTCGTCGTGGCGCACACCGAATGGAAATTCTTTTGGGGGTCTGTTTGCTGCCCCGTCGCCTTGGACTCAGGCTCACACCTCCTGTCTTCCACGGGCAACCATCCACCGCCAGACTCCACGAGCTTCTTCCAAGACGCGGCAAACGCTATGTCAAGTTTCTGCTGGTCACACACCCAATGTTTCGCTAACGCCAGATACGCATCATCGTTCACAAGAGCCAAGTCTGCTGTCAGACGCATGGTTCCAGCCAAGATGCTGGTCCTGTCCTTCGTCTGCCACTGCACCGCCGACCCAGATGGAGTTGCGACTTGCTCCCACTCCTCATCAAGCATTCCAGTCAAGAACTGGTTGGTCCATTGAGAAGGAGTTGTCGTCCACGGCCCCTCGAAGCCACTCGTCATAACGCCGGCACCATGACACTTGCCGAAAGCATGACCACCTGCTATCAGCGAAGCTGTCTCAGAATCGTTCATCCCCATGCGGCCGAACACCTCCCGAATCTCGACGGCACTCTTCTCTGGATCTGGGTTTTGCCCACTGTTCAGATCGTTCGGGTCGTTCAAAGGCCCCTCAGGGTTTACATAGATCAAACCAACCTTCACCGCACCCATTGGCTCCTGGCAATTTCCTTGCACAACGCAATCCGTATCTTGCCAGCTATCTGTGACGCCAAAAATGTCACTCTTGTTACCATCTGCATCATCGACTCGTCCAAAACAGTGCGGATTTGTTGGGCCTCCCATGTCCCGGATAGCAACGGTACCAGCAAAACTGATGAGGTCACCCCAACTGAGAGCATCGCCATATTTTTGCTTGATCCGTCACCGTGCCCTGAGGCACGGAGTGGGCGCGCCCTCAGGTCCTTCACCTCCTCCCCAGAGCCTCGTTCCCTGAATCCCAGTCCTCAGTCCTGAGCATTTAAGGGGACCAGAGCCAAAACCACGAAATCTTATGGGGCTCGCCGCGTCGGCCCCGGGCTTCTCGCGTGACTTTGGGAGGGCAACTTGTTTGGCACCCCTCACGAAGATCGTGGCCCCCGAGCGCGAACATTTGAGCCCTCCGCCCCAAGAGGCCCCCAAGAGGCCCCGAGGGCTCCCTAAGAAGCTCCCAAGAGGCCCCCAAGAGGCCCCCAAGAGGCCCCAAGAGGCCCCCAAGAGGCCCCCAAGAGGCCCCAAGAGGCCCCCAAGAGGCCCCCTAGAGGCCCCAAGAAGCTTCGAAACTGCCTCCCAGAGGCCCTCAAGACGCCAACCACGAGATCCCAACGAACATCCATGAGGCTTCTGACCCCTCACCAAGGCACGGTGGCGGATGGGCCGAAGGCCACTAGATGGGAACGAGAAGGGCACGGGCCTTATCCAGGTTACCATTGTCCTCCCAATCTGACTCTGGTGGGAAGCGGATTCTGGCACCTCCGCAGCCCCCTTTCTGATCAGATGTGCGAAAGGTGCCAGCGCAATGCCACGCTAGGCGAATCATAAAACCACCGTAATGGCCATCATCGGCTGGCCAGCAAGTCTGGCTGTCTGTCATGAGGATTCTGAGGTCCTGCTCAAGTGCCTCAATGTCTAGCCCTTCTAGGGCTGTCTTGAAGTCACTGTCAGAAATGACTTCTGCCTTCAAACTTGGAGGAGTGCCAATGTCCATGAAGGGGCATGATCCAAATACACCAATCGGTAGAAGAACCACGATTAATGAGTTCATCGCTGCTTTGAAATACTTTGAATACGAATGTCGCTGGACGTTGTAATTACGGAGGGCTTCCTGAAACAGTTGAGCCTACATTGTAAATTGCGGAGGGCTTCCTGCGAGCCTCTTAGAGGTCTCTCGGTCTGTTCATTGGACCTCTTGGGCGCATTCGGGGCTTTCCCCCACCGAGCCGTGGCTGGATCCTCGCTTTGAATAGGGCGATTGGGTCTACACCTGTTTCTCCTTCGCCCCCGTCCCGCCCTCCTCCCTTCTCCTGTCTCCCCTGTTCGCTCGCCTGGCTGACCTGCCTGTTTGCATGCTCCCTGTCTTGCCGTCCTGTCTGGCAGCTCGGCGGCGCAGGGCTGCGAAGTGTGAAACCGCCACTTTCGGAGGCTGCTGGGAGGGCCAGCGCAGCGCGGAACATCGTGGATCCAGAAAGGACCTCGCTGTTCCCGGGCTGGCTGCGAAGTGCCGAACGCTTCCGGATTGAAATGATCGACCCACGAACCCGGAAAGGAACAGAAATGTAAGGCATGGCAACGTTTCAAAGACACCTGATTGGGCGACGGGCAAATGCAATGCTGAATGTATCGATCTTGATGTACTGTGCCGAGGGCTGTGCTGTGCTACGCCGTGCTGAACTGCGATGTGCCATGCCGCGATTGTGCTCTATATAGCGTTGTGGATCGAGTCCTCCCTGGCATCCGAGTCCTGGCCGAACTGATCTGCATCTTAAGCTCGCGCTGCCTGAGCAGATGCTGGCTGCCAAAAAATTAACCTGGCGAAGAACCCAACCATATGCAGTTGTCAGTACCGCAGCTGCGGGTTTCATCTTCAGTGGAACTCCCCATAGGACTACGGAACGTGTGAGGGGTGTGTCGAGATGGGTGCCACTGGGGCATTCGGCGAAGCTCCCTATGGGGACATGAAACACGCGCGGGGCGTGCCGACATGGGTGGCGGAAACGCATGTGAGGGCCGCCACTGGGGCCTCCAGTGGAGCTCCCTATGGGTCCCCGAAACATGATGTTGCTGCGGGGGGGTGCCGGGATGGGTGGCGGAGACGCATGTAAGCGCCGCTACTGGGGCCTTCGGTGGGGTTCCCTATGGGGCCACGAAACGTGTGAGGGCTGTGCCGAATTGGGCGTGCGGGACGCATGCGGGCGGCAGCACTGGGGCCTTCGGTGGGGCTCCCTATGGGGCCACGAAACGTGTGAGGGGTGTGCCGAATTGGATGTGCGGGACGCATGCGGGCGGCAGCACTGGGGCCTTCGGTGGGGCTCCCTATGGAGCCACGAAACGTGTGAGGGGTGTACTGGGACGTGCGGCGCGGACGCATGTGAGCACCGCCACTGGGGCCTTCGGTGCAGCTCCCTATGGGGCCACGAAACGTGTGAGGGGTGTGCCGAATTGGGTGCGGGTGGTGACGCATGCGGGCGGTGCCACTGGGGCCTTCGGTGGAGCTCCCTATGGGGCCACGAAACCTGTTGTTGTGAGGGGCGTGCCGGGATGGGTGGCGGGGACGCATGTGAGCGCGGCCGCTGGGGCCTTCGGTGGAGCTCCCTATGGGGCCACGAAACGTGTGAGGGGTGTGCCGAATTGGGTGGGTGTGGGTGACGCATGTGAGCGCCGCCACTGGGGCCTCCGGTGGATGATGGGGCCACGAAACCTGTGAGGGATGTGCCGAAATGGGTGTGCGGGACGCATGCGCATGTGAGCGCCGCCACTGGGGCCTTCGGTGGAGCTCCCTATGGGGCCACGAAACGTGTGAGGGCTGTGCCGAATTGGGCGTGCGGGACGCATGCGGGCGGCAGCACTGGGGCCTTCGGTGGGGCTCCCTATGGGGCCACGAAACGTGTGAGGGGTGTGCCGAATTGGGTGTGCGGGACGCATGCGGGCGGCAGCACTGGGGCCTTCGGTGGGGTCCCTATGGGGCCACGAAACGTGTGAGGGGTGTGCCGAATTGGGTGTGCGGGACGCATGCGGGCGGCAGCACTGGGGCCTTCGGTGGGGCTCCCTATGGGGCCACGAAACGTGTGAGGGGTGTGCCGAATTGGGTGTGCGGGACGCATGCGGGCGGCAGCACTGGGGCCTTCGGTGGGGCTCCCTATGGGGCCACGAAACGTGTGAGGGGTGTGCCGAATTGGGTGTGCGGGACGCATGCGGGCGGCAGCACTGGGGCCTTCGGTGGGGCTCCCTATGGGGCCACGAAACGTGTGAGGGGTGTGCCGAATTGGGTGTGCGGGACGCATGCGGGCGGCAGCACTGGGGCCTTCGGTGGGGCTCCCTATGGGGCCACGAAACGTGTGAGGGGTGTGCCGAATTGGGCGTGCGGGACGCATGCGGGCGGCAGCACTGGGGCCTTCGGTGGGGCTCCCTATGGGGCCACGAAACGTGTGAGGGGTGTGCCGAATTGGGTGTGCGGGACGCATGCGGGCGGCAGCACTGGGGCCTTCGGCGGGGCCCCCTACGGGGCCACGAAACGTGTGAGGGTGTGCCAAAATGGAGGATGATGACGATGATGACGCGCGTCAGCCTCCGAGCCCGCGCCCTGGAGCCGCGCAGGGGTGCGCGCTGGCAGCGCGCGCCCGCCAGAGGCAGGGTCGGCGGCGACGCCGGGCAGATTGGCCACGAGCACGTCGGGCGTCACCTTCCAGTGCACCGGTCGGAGCACAACCTGGCCTGGGTTTTCGATGGCGAGCGAAGCGACGGCTCGGAGGCAAGCGAGTTCCGACGCTTCGTTTTTCGTCTCGCTCTCCCCGATCGCGACGAGCCGACGGCCATCTCCCGGCGCAAGGCTGTTCGGCAAAGTCAGGGTGCACCGCCAGCCCGCGCCAGAGGCAGCGAATTCCTTGCAATTGGTGACGGCTCGGACCAAAGCGCCTCCGTACTCTGTAGGGCGCGTCGAGGCATGGTTATTCAGCACGGCGCGCCAGCCGATCTCCTTGTCGCTGGCGCGTTGCTCCAGCAGGTATGCTTCAACCGCCTCGACGCGCGCGGCCTCGAAGTTCGGCCATGGCGCCGCCATGGGGGCCGCGCAGCGCGCGACGCGCCAGAGGCAGCGGCTTCGCGCACGGCGGAATAAGGCGCAGCGAGTGCGCTAGTGGCGAAGCGAGGAACGCTGAGCATCAGCGGGTTCGAGTCGAAATGTGACGCAGGGTCTCCTTTGATTTTGCTCGGGTCCTGTTTCGTTTTCCGTGGGTCTCGTTGAGTTTTGGCAGGGTCCTGTTTAATTGTCCTAGGGTCTCGTTTAGTTGTTCTAAGGTTCTGTTTAGTTGTCCTAGGGTCTCGTTTA